TGGAGACTCCGAGCTCGCCAGGGGCGCTGCGATCACTTTTCGCCCGCGATCCGCGGGAGTTGCCACTATTGGCTTACATGGTATTTGGTTGCACTGATCTAGCTGTCCTCGCAGGACCTCGTTGACAGCTTACGACATGTTTGATCTAATTGTAAGGGAACATTCTTACAGCTTCCTTGGCTCCCATAGGCAAAAAAGCGATGGGACATCTGGTGACCCGGACCATGTTTCTAACATATGTAATTATTAATTTAAGCGCGCACAATGTGGCGGCCTCTACCCTGCCTTTAAAATATTAAACGTCAGGATGTTTCAAATGTCAACAAAAACCGTGCTGTTACTTGGGTGTCTTCAGACAAGCGTGACGTGGACGTCATTTCAAGCAAAAGAAACGACGCTGAGCTGCTCGAAAAAAAAAAATGATATGCTCCTGGGACTGCCTTTGCGAGGTACACTCCAAAAGTTAAAATAATTGCCTCGGCAGCCGCGTCAAACTTTAACCTTTCAGCCATGGTTTTATAAGGAGAAACCAGCGCTGAGCGCAGGTAACTGGCCTGCGGCGAGACGTCAGTCTTTACGCAATCGTTTCTTTCTTTACTCATCCTCAGACGTCTGCGGCAAGACGTCATTTTTTTGCCGTCAGGTTGTTTGCCTTATTTTGGTGAAAATAACGGTTTGACGAAAACCTCGTAGGTATAGAAGCGCTATAGTAAAAGACTCATGTCATAAGTCGCTTGAGCAAAATCAAATTAATAGAGCGTTTTAGCGAACCGTTTTTCGCTCCGATCCGACAAACCGCGTCCTGATAGTGTCACCACATGACGTTCCGCCAATGCGTTTTCGCTTCTTTCACAGCATAAAACTCCCTTTAACGATAAAGAACTAACAGGCTAGACATTTTCGTGAAATGAGTAGCTTTGCGGTACTTGAACTGTGGTGAATGACTCTATTGCTCAGATAGATCGTATATATAAAAAAAAAACATGATTAGGAACAAAAAACACGTCCTAGACATAGGTGTTCACAAAACGTTTGCGACGCTTCTTAACATGTTCTAATTTTCCTCAGCCAAGTGGTGCCTGCCGCTCCGTTTTATACAACGCGAAACGCTGGGTATGCATCCTTTTCGGGGCATGTATTTTTTTTTATTTTCATTTGTGTGTCTACCGCTCATTTTAGACGATATTAAAATTTTGAAAATTTTATTTATCTTGTTAATCTCCTTAGCGCTTGCAATAATGCCCCGTCGACATTGGTTTCCAGAGCATTGTTTTGGTTTTCTCTCGATGGTGTTGCTTTCTCATCGATAACACGTTCAAAATCGTCAGAAAAACTTCTACCACATGTTTCACATGCGACGAAAATCAGCCCTTTTGCTACCAATACTTCCTAGAAACAAAAAGTCTAAGTGCTGAATTTTCCTGCATCACTAACGCAGGCCCCCGTATGTCAGAGATTAAACGCGACTGTGGCGTCAGCGTACGGCTAGGAGTCGTGTCCTCACTGACTAGACACGAGTTCTAACCGAACACCTACGCAGCACTCGTCCCTAATCTGTGGCCTCCGTTAGTAACGTAGAATGATGCAGCACTTAAGGTTTCCACTCTTAGAGGTGTTGCTCCAACCGGGATCATTACTTCGTGTTCGGCCGTACCGGGACTGAGTGTACCGACGACCGGTTTCGGGAACTGCTCTTAACTATATGTGCACAAACGATGGAACATAAAATCTTGCAGGTCGTCCTGCACATATATTTGGCGACATGGTGAGTGAGCTGCCGGGAGGGAAAAAGTATTGCTGTATGAACCGCAGGGTCACGACCCTCGAAGGGCAGGAAAATTCCCGTTATTTCAGAAAAGCGAAAATAATTGTTTCAACAAAGAAGCAGGCCGCAGTGACAGTAAACAAAAGCAAAAATGTGTTAGAAACTGTTCTAACCAAGGAGCTACTCGGAGCAATTATATATATCATAAATAAAAAAGCTTTTGAGGGTGAATTATTCTTTAAATTACGTGATTTCGAATTCATAATAAAACAAACAGAAAAGTGAGAAAAAAACACATTCAAAAAATATAAACCCGAGACTATTTAATCCCATAAATTTTTGTAGTTGACAGTGACGCTTCAGACTACAGGCCACTATGGCAGAAGAAATTGCGATCAAGATGTGGAGGTATATATGAATCTCTTTAGCAGATTAATTATTTACCTTCAAATTCATACGGCATTACGAAAAGAAGTGGTAGAATAAATCACCGAGAATGTTATAGCAAAATAAACACGTGAACCAATTGAAAGCCGTTTTGCCATGAATGATTGCAGTTTAAGGGGTAAGTGGGGGAGAGGGGGGGCGGTTTATTTCACAGGCGTGGGGGGAATAAACCAGTAAAACAACTGCTCTGTACGACATATAAAAGCATCAAATTTCTTTCGGTGATCTATGCGATTAGCAATTAATGGGGTTTTTCGTAGATAATGAAGCAGTGAACGATATTGGTAAATTTGGTGAACCACAAATAAAGGCGAATACTGCTTCCGCAAATCTAGATTCGGTAATGACGATGAACGTTTCATAAAGGTAATATACACTGCAGTTGTAGTAATGACGTGTGATGTGTGTGGATTTGTTTTGAACAGATTATAATCCTAAAATGAGGTATTCCTTGCCAAGTTACCAGTCGTCAGCTGCGGAATCAAGTGAAGATCTTACCAGTGACTTATAGAGAGGAAGTATAAGGCATGAAGCTTAAAATGTCGCGTTAATTGTTTTTAGTTTATTGCGGTTTTCCACAGAAATAACCTTACGCTCAGCTTACCACGTTCTCAAAGCGGAATTATTCTGCAATTCATCCAGATCTTTTTTTTTTTTTTCCTGTGAGCGGAAGACCATTTTTGTGATCGACGTGAGCACGTGTTTTCAAGTCATTACATGACGATTTTATCGGGAGGTCACTCGAATAATGGAAGATTAAAATCTGTTTCTGAAAAGTCTATAACCTTTTACCGCGCCGCAAAAAAAGGTGGGCAACATTTTTAAGCGGCGGGCAACATATTATAGCCTTGCCTGAAAAGTCCATCACATTTGACTGGTGATACATGAGTCATAGGGCAACCCTTTGCCCATTCGACCAGTCAAATGCGATGGATTTTTCAGGCAAGCTGATAGCCTTATCAGACGTGGCTCGAGGCACGCTCGAAGACACGGACAAAAACAGTGTTATGTCGGTAATGAAATTATTCAGCTATACGCAAGACTCCTGGATAGTAGTACAAGTAGGCGATAACTTCTCAGTAGTAAAATTACATAATACAAGAAACCACGTCTGCAAATATTTGAGCCAAGCCTTATATGTGTCATTACACGAAGAGGGGTCGGCCTTGTGCCCGAAAGATGGACATAAGAGTACGCCATCAAGCATGCGTCGCTCAAGGTCAAAGCGGACGCGCCTCAGGAATTAAACACAAAGAAGGGCACAGCAACGCAGATACTTTGCTCTGGAAGCCGCAATGCCGGTGGGGGGGGGGGGGGGGGGGGGGGGGGGGTGCGGGGTGCCGCGTCTGCGCAGTGGTGGAGCGTGATGTCACCGCCGGAACACCGTGTGCAAAAGAAAACGTGGCACTCTGCTTGTAGGATCGCGCTCCGTATAGGTATGCTTTCGCATTCCTACACGTAAGCAGAGTTAAGTGTCTTCAGCGTGCTTTTTAATCCCGCTTTGTCAAGGCGGATGGCCGAAAACATCTTCGCCGCTATATTTCTTATCCGAACTAGGAAGACAGAAAATTCATATTAAATACCGACGTTTTTTTTTATTTTTTTTTAAAGGCTGTCAAGTATGCCGATGTTCTACGAAATTTGAAAAAAAAACAGCAGTTAACCTTGAGCTAAAATAGATGGCACCGCAAAAACCAAAACAGAAATAAGTAAATTTATTCCGTTCAAAATTGATAGGAGAGAGCAGAGGGAATAGGACAGAATCGCAATCTAATAAGGCCACGACTACGTCTTTATCAATTGATTAGGCTACGACGAGTCTGCCGTCGTAATCACTTGGAACAAATTAATAGTTAAAAAATCGAATACGTTAGAGATACGAGAAATGTATAGCTTAGATACATATATAGTTTGCACTTGCAGATTATCTGGGTGTTCTGGTTGTATATTTTCAATTAACGTATACTCCAGTTAAATATTTTACTTAGAAGGTTTTTCTTTTTGTATGAAAGAGAGATGCAGAAATATTTCATTGTTTGCGTTATGCTTTCCTGTAGAAGTGGTATGTTGTTTGCTAAATGATAATGACTGCGAAATGCACAATGAACAATGGCTTCTTCTCTAAAACTGCGAAAATGTTTCAAAAGCCGGGTAAATCCATGATTCAAAAATTTTACTCCGACTTAGCATAACTGCATTGACGGTGGCCGTTTCGTTGTCCCTGCGCCTTGAATAGCAGTTTTTGCGTCTGACTTGCTCCATAATCATACGAGAAGAAAAGGGTACTCACGTATAAGAAACGAAATCGGCTGAGCTACGAAGATGCCAGAAAACACCATTCCTCTAAGGCAAGGGGATATTTTATACACAGGTGGTTTCTAAAACGATGGGCCCAGCAATTGGCCGTTATCTCGTAAATAAATAATAAACCGTAAGCAATTGAAAATGCACTTAAAGTTGTATTGACGGATTACTGACTTTAAAGGACACTCTCAGTGAGTGGTCACCAAGCTTACCATAAATTGAATAACAAAAAATAAGTGTTTTGAACCTTCATATTGCTTGGCATCGAAAGAATATGACATTGATTTTTGTGAGAAACGCATTTGAGGCAAATTAATGACGCAAAATAAACTACAATTTGTTGAACTTTAAGATCCAAGGAATCATGAAGCATAAAAATAATAATAGCAATAAAGTTTTACAAAACATACTTGCTCAAAATATTTTAAGAATCAATATCAATCTCATTTACTAAGTCTATTTAATTAAAAATGACACTACTCACCGCAATTGACGTTTACGCAAATAATGGCGCAAAGAAACGCCAACCCATAAACTTCCAGCATAGTGAGTAACGTCTGTAATACAAAAACAGCACAATGAAATTGTACTTGAGTAAAGGTTTTGTGTGTACGTTACGAGTTCACGTTCTCTATTTTTTTTAATATTTCGGTCATTGAATGCGTAAAAAAATCAAAGCTTCAAAAAGAAAGGTCTACATGCCGCGTCGGTTCATTTACTTACCTCAAGATCCAACGATTTCTAATTTTACAACGTGTAATATGACGTCAGAGGCATATTGAAGGATAATTTACTAAAAAACAAAACTTCCACCAGACAAAACTCTATCACAATTATAGAGGCCAGTTAGAAAATGTTCAGTATGCATTGCACCTAAATCTAAAGAGAAAAATTAATGGATCAAGTTTACTTCGACTTTTTTTTTCAGACAGCGTTTTTTATGACAAAAAGTCAAAGCAGCAAACCAAAGAAAAAAATTAAAAATTCGTAGAGTCAAACTTTGTGTAAGGGTGTAAGTAGTCCCGCTATGAAAACGAAGCGTCGGTTAGAGATACATTTTCATATATTCCTCTAAACACCTCGGTGAAGGCCACACGACTCCCACTCATAAAAGCCGGCCAAGTCAACAAGCTTCGCGGTGCGTGAAACCGCTGGCCGGAAATGCCGGTAGTCACGTTCACTGCCGTTTGAAACCAATGCGGAACATAGGATCTCGGTATATTTTTGAAAAAATAAGCACTCTATTTATATATTTATTGCTTTTAAAACTAACAATGAAGCTAAATGAAAGAGTAGCGCGGCATGGAGAAACAATTTCATAACTAATATTTCACACGTCAATCATCTCTCCAGCCAAGGATAGCCGAGAAATAGTGCCCAGCTCCATACGTACCTGAGCGGGGCCTAGAAGGGGTTACAGCCTCCTAAATTACGTCTTACTGTTAAATATTACGCGAGAAAAAAGAATTCCGTTGGAAATATTCAAGAACAAGTACGTGTCCCGAATACGCCAGTTAAAGGACCATATATTTTATTCATTTCAATGTCCAGTTAAGCTAGATATCAATATTAACACCAACAAGTCGGCTCCAATTTCCTCCTCATCCCCACAAGTCTGTTTTACAAACTGTGCAAAGTTTGCTGATACATGAACCCATTCTTTGAAACCTTACTGTAAAATTGCGATATTAGTTTTCGAGGCGTCGCGCCGTAGTTTCGCAATACATTCGATAGGTAGACGTAATTTTCACAAGCTCGGATTCATTTAAGCTCGAAAAAATAGCGTCAACATAGATCGTGAACGATGAGCAAAGATGTCGCACGCCGGTTTTAAAGTGTACAGCGGGCGTGGCAAGAGTGGGGAAACAAGTTGAGAACAATAATTTTTGAAAGAACGGCCAATGTTACGGCTAGGAAATTCTGTCTTGTAATAAGAAACATATGATGAGGTCTAACAATATTTATTAAGAAGTGAGCCTTACTTGTTTCTGGAAGCTCCTCGGAGACGAAATTCTCTAGTGCGTCGTCTTGTGAATGAATGAGACTCGCCGAAGAGGGGAATGGTCAAATATATACAACTCGTGTCCAACCAAGTACAGCGCAAAGCGACTTCCGGAAGGAAGACAAAGAAATGAAAGAGGTAGAAACTTGAGTCAGCAGCAACGTACGAAAACATTTGGAGAAGGCAAGTGTTTTATGTTTCAATTGTGATTACCACGGTCATTCTGCTACGCATTGGTCTTATCCAAAAAGGCAAAAGTTATATTTCAAAGGTCAGCGTACTGACATGACGTACGTTGGCGGCGAGTGGCAAATACAAATAAAGAAGAATGAAAAAACAACTGCATGAATGAAAGAAGACCGTCATTGGCTTGTACAGTAGGTTCTTTGTCTGCATACATGTTCGCTGTCTTAAAATACAGCATGATTATTGCGTTGTTGACGAGTTTCTATGGCTATGCTCCGATCCAATGTCATTCTAAAATATAACTCGTAATATTCTTCCCTAGAAAAACAAAAAAGATAACCCAAAGCGATGGAATTGTACAAAGAACTCATCCACCACCAACATGCTGAAATTTAGTGATAAACGTCATTTCACAAGATTTTTTGTAAGCGGTGCCAGAGGATTAGATTCGAGAAAACAAATAGTATTTTCATGGCTTCCAGTTGTTGTCTAACGGAGAGGTTACATAATAGAATACGCACATCTTTCTTTGGCTGCAGTAGAATGCGGCAGCAGATAGGCTTAATTGGAAAAGGGCTGATTTCTGAATAGTTCAAAGAACCCAATGTATCAGTTTAATATTGTTGGGCTGCACAGTAAAAACGGCTTCGCAAAATTCGCGTCGTGAAACAAGCAAGGTATCACCGCACTGAAAAAAATACATTCACGGATTACATATACAGTCATTAACATAAAAAAATTAAAGAACATGATAGCATTCACATGATTTGGCCTATTTAAGTTTTCGGCGTTTCTTAAATAATAATAATAATAATAATAATAATAATAATAATGCATTTATTTACGCTGGGTTAGTTCAAAAAAGCAGAAGGCAATCATTAATTAGAATTTCCATCTGTTCTTTTAAGGAATATTATTATTAATAATAATATCTAGGAATTTATTTTGATAGTGATTTATCTTGGGACTCTCATCTCAGTTACATTGCCGAAAGATTGCGGAGTGTCTCATGCATGTTATATTCTACAAAAACGTTTCTACCTTTTCCAATTCGAAAGATGATAGTCAACGCGCTTGCTTACGGTTTGTTGCCCTATGGAATTACTGTTTATGCCAACTGTTCTATGCTTTGGCACAACAAGATTAATACGATTTTAAAAAGTATTCTGAAGGGCGTGGCGTACACCTCTTTGTCGACGCGAAGTGATGAGTTGTTTGAGTCTTTATGTCTACCTCGTTTTTCAGCCCTCTTTAAGAGAAGTGTAATTAGCAAACATTACTGCATGGTTAAGTTCATTTAAGATCTAGAACGCAATCTGAGAGAAGGTGAACGTTTCGTCATTCCGCGCGTCTATACGAAGTATGGAAAACGTCATCGCTCATTTTATGTTCCTGATCTGTTTAATAGCTTATCAGATTTCTTTTCAGATATTGATTCATAGCGACAGTTAAAAAAAAAAGCTTTAAGGAAAATATGCCAAAGCGATATTTCCTGTGTCATGAGTTCAAATATTCTCGTCCCGTTTTCCAGCTTCCTTCGTTCGTCTGTTCTGTATATATTGAACCAACAAATTCAGAACTTAGTTTTACTTTGTTTTATCTTGCTAAAGTTAGACAGTTCCTTGGTACTTTCAATGGCTTTTCATCGGTTGATGATAGAACCTGCAACTTCGGCGTCGGGTTTCTTTTGTGGTGTCTTTTGTGGTTGTCTCTCATTGGTGGTTATGTGACATTATCCTGCATGTGTTTTTGATCAAGTCTGTTTCATTTTCTCCAATAACTGGAATTTTTTGAACTGTATCATTTTGGGTATTAGACTGTGCTTTAAAATATTTCTGTTATTTTACGCCGCAGCCGGGTCCAGCCCCACAAGCCGCTATCGGCTTTTGACGAACCCGCATTCACATGTATTGAATTGAAAGCTGCGATAAATTGATTGATTGATTGATTGATTAATATTACCCTAGTGAGAAACGTTAGCGGAAACAAACCGGCAGCTTATGCCGTTTCATCACGATCCAACATATATTATCATCGTCATACATGCAACCATTACGGTCCCTGTATATTGCTGCCATGTTTAAGAGAGTCGCCATACATGCAGCCGCTGCACTTCCACTTCAGTGCCAACACATTTACATTGGGGAAACACGCGCAGCCATCATATTTGAGTAAGTTTCCATCATCAGTTCGCCACTGCAAATAAGCGACCACTATGTTTACGTCGAAGCGCCGATATGAATTGGCCGGCTTCCTTAGCACTACTGTAACCTTGCGTGAGACATTCCCGGTAACATTCCACCGAATGTTTTTTTTTAGGTTTGTTATTTGTGCCACGTTTTGATATCTTCACGTTGCGTGTAGTTCGGTCCACGGAAGTCATCCCTCCTCTGCGCCTTGATCAAACAACGTGCAGCAGCCTCACATCAGCCACATCGAGATTATTCTCAAGGGTGAACTTCAAACGGCGTCGTTGAGTTTGTACCGTCCGTCGAGCACCCTGCAGGAACATTAGTCTGGCGATTGCTGTCTCTCCGCCCGCCAATACTCGCCTGCCTCGGCGACGGTGGCAGATCTGACCAAAGGGGTAAGCAAGTCTCGTCTCATTTTCATTTAGCATTATGTTTTCTTTCTCACCTATAGTAGCACTCTAAATGTTAGCAAAGAGAGGGGTCAACCTTTTTAAAGTTAGAACATTGGAAGTTATAAAGCGTGCCGATAAACCAGGCTTCGGAACAGAGAGCCTGATTTGGTGACGTGTAATTTGTGAAAGCGCAACGGAAAGCAGGTGAAAACCTTTCTGATTTGTTAGAGCGGCTTGCCGACGAGGTAAGAAATACGGTCGAGCATGTGCCACCCTTGGAGGTGCCTGCTTCGAGAAGATATCTGCAAGCAACGCGAGTCTGACTTCCTAGTCATACTCGCTTAGTCTTCACGATGTCGGTTACGTTAATACAAGAGGTGAGTAGTAATGGTGCCATTTCGTGGTATATCGCTTACTGGAATATGTATGAACCTCTGCATTGCGACGAGCCTCGCATCCAGATGGGCGCGCCGCGCGGCCCGCCGGGTGTGGAGCGACCGGCTGGCCACGCCCGACGACTTGACGGCCTCGACGTTAGGCCTAAAATAGTCACCGAATTGGAAGCGTCTTTCCGTGAAGGGGTAAGCGAGTCTCGTCCTCTTTCGATCTACTTTAAAGTTGAGTACGCTTCAATGTAAACATGTGCCCCAAGTATTGGCGAAAATTTTGAGCAAGAATAATTGTGGTTAATCGCGGCTTTTCACCAAATCAAAGTGTAAAGTGAGCCGATTAACAAACAGCCGTGCATGAAAAAGCGAGTTTATTTAAGAAAT